GTGTGAGAGTGTGTGTGAGAGTGTGTGTGGAGAGTGTGTGTGAGAGTGTGTGTGAGAGTGTGTGTGGAGTGTGTGTGAGAGTGTGTGTGAGAGTGTGTGTGAGAGTGTGTGTGAGAGTGTGTGTGAGAGTGTGTGTGAGAGTGTGTGTGAGAGTGTGTGTGAGAGTGTGTGTGAGAGTGTGTGTGAGAGTGTGTGTGAGAGTGTGTGTGAGAGTGTGTGTGAGAGTGTGTGTGAGAGTGTGTGTGAGAGTGTGTGTGAGAGTGTGGTGAGAGTGTGTGTGAGAGTGTGTGTGAGAGTGTGTGTGAGTGTGTGTGAGAGTGTGTGTGAGTGTGTGTGTGTGTATGTATATATATATATATATATATATATAATATATATATATATATATATATATATATATATATATAATATATATATATATATATATATTATAATAATGCGATTGGCAGAGGATTCGAACCCATGTCGTTTTGGCCCTGCCTTGTGAGCGAAAAATCACATGTCCCTTTAGCCCAGAGTCACCCACACCACCATAAGTCCTCGCACCAAGAGTAACACACCTAGCTTGGCTGGGTGCTTGGTTTTTGTAGGATTGGGTGGTCCTGTGGACTAAGGTGTTACGTGATTTTCGCTCACCACGAGGCAGGACCAAAACGACATGGGTTCGAATCCTCGTTGTTTATTTTATATATTGTGTGTGTGAGACTGAGAGAGACTGAGAGAGACTGAGAGAGACTGAGAGAGACTGAGAGAGAGACTGAGAGAGAGACTGAGAGAGAGACTGAGAGAGAGACTGAAGAGAGAGAACTGAGAGAGAGACTGAGAGAGAGACTGAGAGAGAGACTGAGAGAGAGACTGAGAGAGAGACTGAGAGAGAGACTGAGAGAGAGACTGAGAGAGAGACTGAGAGAGAGACTGAGAGAGAGACTGAGAGAGAGACTGAGAGAGAGACAGTGAGACTGTGTGAGAGTGAGACTGTGTGAGAGTGAGACTGTGTGAGAGTGAGACTGTGTGAGAGTGAGACTGTGTGAGAGTGAGACTGTGTGAGAGTGAGACTGTGTGAGAGTGAGACTGTGTGAGAGTGAGACTGTGTGAGAGTGAGACTGTGTGAGAGTGAGACTGTGTGAGAGTGAGACTGTGTGAGAGTGAGACTGTGTGAGAGTGTGAATGTATAGTATACTGCGTATATTTTCTTTCCAGCCTTCCCCACCTGTCCTCTGAAAGAGGTGGACGCAAGTCATCCAGTGACATACGCCACCTTGGAGGACAGTCTCACCTTCGCTATCCGACCCAATGAGCCTGTAATGTATATGAGAATCATCGTGGACAACACACACTATAAGGTAACGTGACATGAAAAGAAGAAAAAATAACTTAAATGAAACTAGAAAAAAAAATGGGGCCTTGCACTGACGGTGCTAGAATTTCTATACTGGAGGGCTCAGGGATGGCTCTTGGGTTGGAAGGGGGGCTTAGGAGGCTTGTTTAAAGCGGGAATATTTTTGCTATTTTATTTTGGGCCTAGGGGGCTGAAGCCCCCCTCTTGTTCAGCACCTAGGTTCTGGCTGCATACAATAATGCTTAATGACTTACCGGTAATGAGTGGTTATCAGTTAATGGGTGAGAAATTAGTTAATTTATAATGTAAATATTATTTATATAAGATGAATTACATTGAATGTGATGAGTTTGTGTTTATTCAGAAAATATCTTTGAAATCCATTACACTTTGATGAACATGGAAGTAGATATCCTAAGAATTGAAGGTTTTAAATTGATTACATATGAATGATGTGTGTCCGTGGTATTGGAAATTTCACTTGATTTCCTGGATATGAGTCAGCGCTGTGATGTGTATGAGTGTAACACAGGGTCTCTGCAGGCCTCTGTGTCGGGCACCATGATCGAGTTACTGGAGTGTTCTTCTCAAGATGAAGACTGTCAGGTCCTGAATCAGGGGGGCAGCAAGAATACCGACTTCCTCTTCACCAACACCTGGAACATTGTTACCGTCTCTTTCACTGACAACAGGGTAAGGAATCTGAGTAAACTCTCTAGGTAGGTGATGAAGTCCAAGACTTTTGGATTTAACTAGATACCTGTTTAAATATAAGATGATTAAACTGTTAATATTTGTTTGGGCTTGTCATTTTTTTTATTGTTAAAAAATAATATACTGAACGGCAGCCTTCATTTTTTTTTCCCTAAATTCAGATGCGCTGCCTTTAACAAATCTACGAAAGAGAGAATTCCATTTTAGTGGTATATATCAACATATTTTCAGTCTTTCAGAATTATATATCGCTATATATTACTCTTATTACATTCATGGAGACACACTGAAGAAAAAGAAATCTTGTTTCATCTACGAAAGGGGAAGATAGGTTCAATTATTTGGATCAAAAACCCTTCACCAGCATAAAGGGATTACCTTACATAACATCATACTTAACTATTTATCCATCACCCTTTTACTTCTTAACGATCAACAACACTGAGAATGGTCATATCTCAACTATGTTCGTTCCCAAGTTTAGGATAAAAATGTCCTCCATTCTCCACCAGATAACAGTAGATATCAACATGAGGAAGAAGGTGATGGGCTTGAGCCTGGCGGAAAGTTCCAAGGGGTCCGGGTCCAGAACTATCGAAGTATCCATCGTAGCAACAGATCCCACGGCCACAATACGTCCATCACCAACTTACAGAGTGAGAGTCAACATTAAATGCAATGGTTAGTTGAGGCTCGATACTTCAGTTGTAAAGAAAAAAAAAACCTCACGGCTATTACATAGGTAAACGAACACATTTTCAACGTTAGGATATTTTATTTACGCTATGTATCGCTCACCATGTATCACGCCTTTTATTGTATTGTATACAGTGCATACAAAAGATGAGTACGACACTTGTACAACAGTTGTTGTGTCGGATATGAAGAAAAGATTCCGTTATTATAACTCTCCGTGTGATTGTACTAAATAACAATAATAATGTTAAACTTGGTTTCAGCATAAACTTGAAGAAAACTTTAACTTTTCCAGATACCTACACACCCGAGATGCGTACTGCTGCGCCTTTGCCAACCCCCTTACCTCTCACCACTAAAGAATCTATTACCATCCTACAAATACCAATTGATAAATCACGTAAGTTTCCCATTAGCTCAGTGATCGATATTGTTCTTATTGTGTATTAGTTTGTGTGTGTGTGTATATATATATATATATATATATATATATAATTATATATATATATATATATATATATATAATATATATATATATATATATATATAATATATAATATATATATATATATATATTTATATATTTATATATATTATTATATAAATTTTAAAATATTATTTACTGTCTTGTCTCAACTCAGATCCAGACTTAATTGTCCTAAATAACATAGGAAGTGATGAGCTTATAAGTGACCCCAAAAAAAGAATGGTATGCTTAGAGAAGAATAAAAGTAATTTTCTTGGCCAACACCTAGACAACGAACTGATGTTTGAACCAGCACATCAACATTCATCTAAGTGAAGTCTCTCAAAAATTGATTAAAAAATTCGCACCTGCTAACCCACACCTTAATATTCTCTATTTCTAACCAACAATTTCTCTAACCTATCTTTTACATTAATACTATTTTATTAAATATCTACTAATGCTTACTACTTTTTTTTCTGTAATTTGCCTTCTGCCCACATTAACACTACTACATAATAATAATAATAATTAACTCGTATCTCACCTATGGTGTATTTGGTGATCTCGAGAAACAAAAATTCTACTAAACATTCCAAAAATATATCACTTTAACAAGTTGTTTGTTTATTGCTATTCGTACCGGTTATAAAGCTCCCTTATCCACGCAATGACTATGTAAACTATAATGTATTACTAACAGGTGAGGCAATATCAGCTAATATAAGTATCTCCCAGCAGTGGAAAGTATGTTCTTCTACCACTCAAATTCAAAATCTTATTTCTTTTTAATGCGGTAGAAAGATAATGTATTTTGCGTGTCATAAAACCTTGTTTGGCACAGAGTCATTGGTATGCTACCTAACAGTACTCCTCTAACTGCTGTCTTGGTGTTTACAGCCTTCAATAACTGTTCTTGGTATCAAGTGGAGATGGAGCATCCCACGCCTTCCATCACCTTCGAGAACTCGCTGACACTCGCCATCTACCCTACCCTGCCACTGTTGTACATGCACATCCGTATTGATAATGTCCTCTTCAAGGTAATTGCTGCTCAATCTTTTATCATATTTTTATATCAAATTCATGTAAGTGGGGGGTAATGAGGTCTTGTGAACCGTGCAAAGGGAAAGAAGCCCAATTCCTTGAATCAACAGCCCTATACAAGCATCAAAGCACCCCACTCTTTCCTTCAAAGGGTTCAGTAATGTAGAGACAGTGAATTTCTAAGACAAAAGGTATCAGAATGCATTTTTTTTTTTTTAGCTATTTTACACGTAAAATGTGCACCTGCTCAGGTGAATTTGACTCTGCCGTCATCAAATTAGGGGCCATTCTTGGATGCTAGGAGTGGGTATATTTAACTTTGATCATAAGGCTCTTGCACATGCCAATAGCTCCAATAACCTTGCCTTCGTTACCGTACACCAGGGTTGAAAATTTGAAGCCTATCGGCTGAAGCCTTCTCGTGTTATGAGCGAAATATAAACGAAATTTTGGAAGAAATTTATTACAGCCACTTACAGGTGCCTCGTCGGTAATGTCTGTCAATGAAGCATTGATTACAGCGGGAATCTCATTTTGCCTTTAAATTTCTGAATAGTTTGTTTCAGTTTACAGAAGCAGCATCATGTGGTAATTATAACACTGTATGTGTGTGTATTGGAAGTCTAACACTCGTAATGAAAATTTCAGGCTATTGTGGAACGCAGTTTGTTGAGGTTGTTGAAGTGCGACTCCACAGAGGTCGAGTGTAGCACCATTAATGAAAGGGATTCTCAAGAGGCTGATCTTCTCCTTCCTAAGACGTGGAACACGATTACAATCTCCATTATTAAGAACATGGTGAGAGGAGTTTGTGTAACGCTTCTACTGGAGTGTTTAAAGTGTTTCTTAAAATCTGTTACTCTTCAGCTTCTACAGCCGCCGCCTCTTCCTTCTTGCCCGTTCCTCTTCTCATTCGTTCTCCACTTAAATCCTCGTATATAACATCGTCTAACCACTTATTTTCGCTTTCTTCTTTCACATCGAACTATTATTCCTTTATTGCCTTTTTTTCTTTAATATCTCTCAGAATATTACACTTAATTGTTCTCTGGCGGTATTTGTGTATCGCTGTCTAATATATATAGAATAAATATTGGCAGCAATTGTTTGATTCCATAAGATATATACTTACGTCCTCTAGCAAAAAAAATTAGATGCTATATAAACCACAGAATGGCTAAGTATTCGAAGGAGGCGCTAAATCCGGTGGGCCATACAATGCTATGCTATGGCTTAAACTTTTTACACAAATGTCTCGAAAATGAGCCTTTTGTTTGTTTTTGCAGGCAGTGATGCAGAAATTAGGTTGTGTGTGTTTTTAAGTGAAAGCACAATATTGTATTCATAGGAACAAGATGAACCCGTAGGGGTCATATAGCACCTAGGGAATGGAAGGTCATCAGGTTGGAACCATGTAGTGTGACGGCACCTGAATTCCTTGGCTACCAAATACCTGAGATTGTCTTCAATGTTACTAATTAAAATTTTCCCCTTTTATACTAGTACTTTATTTTTTATAATTACATTTATGCACAAGTTAACCTGACAAAACTCATCTCTTGATAGTTTTTATACAGAACCACTGTAGAAATTGACGTTAATACCTATAGTTATTCATGTTATTAAAAAATATTTATATTAATATTTTAACAGTAGGATTAATTTTCTTACTGAAAAAAAAAGCATTTAACACATAATATTTTAATCATCAGATTGAAGTGGACGTCAATATGAGAACTTTTGTGAAGGGAAATACTCCACCTGCAAATTTTGAGGGCGTCCATAGTAGTGAGGTGACCATTGTAGCCAATGATCAAAGTGCGAAGGAAACCCAAGAGAGCTACTACATCGTTGGTGTCAACGTTGAGTGCAATGGTAAGTTCCCGGAGACTGTCCTTTAACTGATTCATTCAGCGAGTACCTCCAGTTGAATCAAGAGCCCTTTATCACCATTCAGAAACCCCCCCTAATAACATCAGAATATTATTACATTTGAAAATGAGCACAAAATCCATGTGGGTTATGCGGTGCAATGGTGGATTGGGTTTCAAGAGTAGCCAAGAGAGGCGGTGAGGGGCTAGTGACGGGGTCTAACGTGAACATCACAGTTGATGTAATACTTTAATTCCCATTAAAAAAAAAACTCGGTCAACATTGAAGGTGGGAGTTTCGGTGAGGAGGCCAGTTGGATCGTCAGGACGTTAAAGATGTCAAAAGTGTATTCTGCATCCTCTTTTATAGAAAGGGCAGTCCTTTAATATACAGTATATTATTATAGCTACTTGGCAGTCGTCACAGTGAGGTGCCTGGCATCTCAGACCTTGTGTGTCTGATTTGTAATTGTTCGTGCTTAGTTTTCCAAACTCGCTTGATACAAGTAAGAAAATAGTTAACAAAAAAAAAAAGGCACAATACCTTGACTGGAACAGTGCACAAATAACCCGCACATAGAAGAGAGGAGCTTATGACGACGGACGTTTCGGTCCGACTTGGACCGTTTACAATGACATTAACAGAAAGGAGAGGAGGGAGTGTATATAGGGCAGCAGACAGGGACGGGAGCAAGAGAGGTAATGGTGGAGGAAGTAGTAGTAGTGGAGTCAGTCAGATACTAAGAGGAGCACTGCAAGGGAGCTAGGGGCCCACAAGGGAGCTAGGGGCCCACAAAGGGTAGGAGCAAGAACACAGAGGGGGAAAAATAAAGGACAAATACCCAAGGCAGAAGAAGGAAGACTCCAATGAAAAAGAGGAATATGGTCTGTGGTGCAGTTGTAATGGTCCAGCTTGTTTTATCTGAAGTGTACTTTCATTGTAAGTATCGTCAGGAAAAGTATATAATGACTATCAAGAAATGTAATCAAGGATAAAAAATCTGGCTGTATTGCTTTGTTTCATAATTTATAGCATGTAATTTTTCTGTATATGATTGAAATTAAAAGTTTATTACATTGCAGTGCTACAGTCAGAGGCGAACGCTAAACTCGTAGGGGTCATAAAATTCCTCGGGAATAGGAAGTAACTAGGTTCAATTGAAGTAGGGAAGAATATAGGTCCAAGTTTTTGGATCAAAAGCCCTTCACTGGCATCAAGGCTCCCATTGAAGGGACTGTAGTATTTGTTTCACAAAACATTGGCATAACTTTAAAAAGGTGCATAAATGTTCATCATTTAAACAAATTATTTTTCTAAACGGATATTCTCTCAACAGACACTTTCAGTCCTACAATACGCCCAGTGATGCCACAGGTCCGCCTCACAGACACGCCCTTCACAGACGTCCCACTGGTCACACAAGAGCAGTTTATTGGTGAGTCCTGCATGGCATGTGGTCTGGTGTAGAATGATGTTTATTACATTTTATGTAAAGTGTTAAACTCCTGTGGGTCATTCGGTACAAGGATTAGTATTATACTGGGAAGCGCTAGTGGGGCTTACACAGCGCCCGGGGACTAGGTAATCAGGTTTGATCCATTTATCACAAGTGGTGGTGGTGGCTCGATCTCCCATCCGATAATCACGAAGCGGGAATGTTACATAAATTTACTTGTATACATGAGGGGTGCCTGGGGTACGGGAGGTTTATTAAACATAATTGGGTATATCAGCAGGGTACTGCTACTCTATATGATAGTTACACGGGCAACAAAAATAAGCTATGTTTACCTGTAATATTCCACCATAACACCCAGGAGGTTTTTAAAATGCTCAGACACCACAGAGAGTCTCATAGCCGACAGTTGAGGTTCAAACGCAAGTGCTTATATCCCAGGACGGCTGGAGTAAAGATTTATATCCTTCCCAGGCACTAAGAGTCTCCAAACTGGGTTATCATGTGAAGGATAAAAAAAAATTGAGAAAGTGTGGTGTAATGTTTTGGAACGATGAAGATGAGTACTCCAGCTTCCCTGGTATTTTAACACTTGGGTTTGAACCCCATTTATCGGCTGTCCATTATTTTTAGTCATAGACACAATCTCTTCTGTCCACAAATTCCCGTTACCAGCCACCCACTCCATCCATTAGTCTGTTTATATTATATATATATATATATATATATATATATATATATATATAATATATATATATATATATATATATATATATATATATATATATAATTTATTTATTACACACACTATTTTTATTTATTATAATGTGAATATACAGTACTATACGTGATGGTTGTCATTTGTACCTTTCAGGGGTAAGAAACGTATAAGGGATTTACTATTATTTTCACAGGGAAGTGCTATAAACCCATAAGGGTTATAATGCACGCAGTGACTAGGAGGAAATCAGGATTGATTTATGGAAATGGAGAATAGATTCAGTTCCCTGTATTAAGAGACTTTATCAGCATTAAGGTACAACCCTCAATAATTGTAAAATTTCCAAGTCTTGCTTCCTGTGTTGAACACTTGATTGTTTTTGCTTCAGCTGTTTTAGTGCGCAGAAAATTCCAAGACTTCTCATAGACATTTTGAAACAGCTGCGTTTAAAGTTATTTAACCAGTAGTACTACTACTACTACTACTACTAATAATAATAATGCTTATTCTACTTATAAAACTATTATAATAATACTACTACTACTATTTCAGATAATACTAATATTTCAAATATTCTGGCTTCCTTCCCTTCTTTCTTCAGTGTGACTTTTTAATTGCCTACGTTGGACCTAAACCTCGTAATAAGTTTGTCTCTTGAGTGCGGGGTTGTGTATTACCCTTGAATCCAACCCGACTGCCTCTTATTCCCTCAGGCACTTCATGACCCATACGGGTTTAGCGCCCCCCCCCCTCCAGTGAATATAAACGTTTTTCTCTTTCAGCTACCTCCACGCCGTCGTCAGGCAAGTCATCAGCTCCTGTGGGTATCATCATCGGCGTGCTCGTTGCTCTCGTCCTTATCATTGCTGCGGCCGTTGCTATTTCCGTATACAAGAAGAGGCGCTCGGCAGATATTAACCAGCACACACCCTTGCGTGAGCAGCAACAGGTCCAGGCAAGGCCATGAAAGGTCATCCTACACTGAGGTATTCTGGCTACCACAGAAATCTCGCAAGAAGACGAATATTAAGGAAAAAACTATTGCATAGTTGATATAAAAGCCGTGTAAAAACAATTTTATGCCTTGTGGGTGTTTATTCTTAATTTTAATAAGATTGTTATATATGAAATCAGTTATTGAACTATCCTTTATCATTATAATCAGTACTAAGCCCATAAGAGTCGGTTCCCCTTAAACATGTGCATTCTATGTGTTAATTATAGTGTGTAGGAGGCAATCAGATGTACTGCGGGAAAGAGGACAGATACAATTCCTTGGATCAGACCCCTCATTATTAATACATTCACTGGGGAATCTCTAAATCCTTTGGGTTCAGGCAGTGCCTGGAGGAGAATGAAATAAGGGTCAGGTTCAGATCCTTGAAGGCTTAAATGAAGAGCGTCTCTTCAGCCTCAAGGATTTTATTTTGATCAGCTGTTATATGATCCACAGGGGTCATAAAGAGGTTGGGGAATAACTCGTTTAGGTTTGATCATGGAAGGGGAAGGTATCGCCAGTTTCACTGGCATCGAGGAACCTTCCTCGAGAAGTGTAGTGTGTGTTAGGATATTAAGCTCAAGGTAATCATTAGCTCATTTCACATGACTGATTTATCTTTTCCTTCACTTCTTAAATGACGTAATATCAAACATTATTTTTTACACTAAAATAAACTTTTTTTTTTATTTTCCAATTGTTTCATTTCATTAATAATTTCATTATATTTATGCAAATGGGAGGCAGTCAGGTTTGACCTGAGGAGACACCTTAACGGTGCTTTTTCGGCAAGTCTCAGCCGGTACATAATTTTTATATTTGAAAACAAGCACCAGAGGTGGGGTTTTGTTGTAAGGGCAATAGTTTGTGAATGAGTAAAAATTAGTAATTCCTTCGTCTATAGGCTGTGGGGACAAAATTTTCCACTCAAGTGACCAGTAAGTGTTTTAATCCTAATTGATTCTATATGTTCAAAGCACAGTCTGTAATATCTTGTTGTACAACTATGTAAGGGATGAGAACAGTTCCATTGAATGAACTGAGGGTAGTGTGTGTGTGTGTGTGTGTGTGTGTGGGGACAGTCAATGAGTCCTTCCAGTAGTGTGAAGCTACATTAGGTTATTGGCTTGATCACCGTCATTACTAATGATTTGCAAACCACTTTGCAAAGGATGGAAGCAGATGCCTTTGTCTGTGTAGATAATGAGAATGTGATCATTCAGGTACGATTCCTTATTTGCCTGTAGAAAACAAATAATGACTTACTGTGTTTGGAAGGTTTCTGTTAGGGAGGTGTCAAGCATCATCACTCAGATGACTATGAGCCACTTTGCTCTTTGGAAGGTGGATGATCTGTGAACAGCCTTTGCGTGATGCGAGAAGCCGGTTCCACAGTCAAGGTAATGGGGGAGCTCAGTGTAACTAGTGAGGGCAGGGATAACTAGATTGGATGAACATTTGCCCAAAAGCAATAGAGAGTTTTGAGGAAGGTCTGTAGTCTGGCAGTGTCTGTTATCTAATAATAAAAAATGGGGGAGCCTCCATGAAAAAGCGAGAAGAAACCGTATACTACCTTGAACTATGGTCGCCACCTTTGTGATTGGTAGTGCTGCTGTTCCCTGGAAATCATCTCTTACCCTACCTGGTGTACAACACCAGAGCAGTATCTTCAGAATTTACCAAGCAAGACTAAGCAAAATAGTTCAGACAAGAGCAAGAACTGTGCAGTTATCTTCTGACTAATAACGCTGGTGAGTGAACCAGCACGATTGCCAATAGTGATACACCGTCTGTTGCCCCTCTTATGCTCAGACAACCTCCATTACTACTGTTGTCATAAAAGGCCCCGTCAAGTGGACGGGTCGTGTGACCCGTCCACAACACTACCAATGGAAGCTACGTTAGAACAGGGCCAAGAATTACTTGTACATAGAGAATATTGGTAGATTTAAAATTCGCTTAGGTGGGTGTAGGGATAACCATGCCCATGTTAACTCTCAAGGCATACAGCTTTGTTTTAAAGGTAGACCATGATAGACTGTTCCACGTGTTTCGCCGGTCGGAGATTGCGTTCCACCTTCGGTAGTGCTGTATATGGGGAATTTGTAGTAAGTCTACATAGGCCCTGCATAAGACTACAGTTACACAAGTTTCCGTGACTACAATTTACATATATATGAGAGTTTCTTATGATAGCCTAAAGAGGTCAGGCAGTGGCTAACTGTCTCTGGGGTCCAGGTGTTAAGAAACGATTCTATTGTCGTGGAGCAAGATAGGTAAATATGTTGATAGTAGGTAAATATGTAGAGATGTGTAGTCCTTTCTCTGCTGGCTCTTCTGGAACATTGTCTGACGTATGATATTATAGGTTGAAAACTAGTTAATCTGATTTGTATAATGCAATGTTACATATAACTTCAGTGTTTGGGTATATTAACCACTTAGGTAAAATTTCATATGGTAATAGATCAGTTGATGTAGATTAGATGCGGTTTTGGGCAGATTACTGTTTGGTTTAGAAAGACACGTAAGCAAACACTATAACATATTTATTAGAAAACGTTTCGGTCCTGGGACCTTGATCACTTCTAACATACAGAGGTAGAAAGACATTATATATACAGGCGGAGAGTGAGATGTGACGCACGTGACCTGAGGAATGTCATAAGAACATAAGAATGGAGGAACACTGTAGAAGGCCTACTGGCCCATGCGAGGCAGGTCCTTATCAAAACAACCTCTGCCTATGATGAGGACCAGTAGACGATGAAATCATGTGACTCCTGTGTTGTTGGGTTGGTGCTGCTTAAGTATCATGTATGCCAATGTTTTTGAAATTTTGTAGTTTCCAGTGTTGCGTTCTATAGTGTCGGTGACGGTGATTAGTGAGGCTTCTAGGCACCGTCGGCGTCTGAGGTCTGGTTCGGTGAGAACGAGTTGTGCCTCGTTCCAGTTCATCAAATGCCCCGTGGAGTCTCTGTGGAGGACACAGGCGTACCTTACATCGTCTCTGTTAGAGGCATTTCGATGCTCATTCAGGCGGACTGCAAGATCTCTGCCTGTCTCGCCTACATATTTCTTGGGACAGAACCCACAGGGGATAGTGTAGACGCCTGCTGTAGAAGTTAGAGGTGTGGGGCTGCGTTTAGTAGTGAGGTCTTTGATAGAGGATGTGTTTATGGTGGAAACGTTGATGTTACTCATAGCAAGTGCCCGGCGAGTATTCGTGGCAACATCGCCACATGGGAGTACTATGAACTGTTTAGGGGGCTGTTCCATGGGCGGTTTGTTGAGGATAGCTTGTGCCTTGAGTCTGCAATCTCGGATGAAGAAAGATGGGAACTGAAGACGTGTAAAGGCTTGTGTTATGTAAGTGCATTCTTCTTCTAGAAAACAAGGGCTGGAGATGCGAAGAGCTCTCAAGAAGCCAATGAGGACTCCTCTCTTAGTGCGGGTATCTTGGTGTGAATAAAAGTGTATAAGATCGTCCTTGTTGGTAGGTTTTCTATACACTTTGAAAAGAAGTTTGTCACTGTCGGGAGATCTGCACTGTACAACGTCGAGGAAAGGAAGTTTGCCATCATTTTCGAGTTCAAGTGTAAACTTTATTGATGGTTCAACTGCATTGATCTTGTTGAAAGGGCACTGGATATTGAGACGTCTTGGATAGAAAACCAATTATCTCATCAACGTATCTTAGCCAGGTAACGGTGTTGGGAAGAGGGTGCTGAATTTCTGTCTCCAAGTTTTCATGAGAGGTTGGCAAGCACAGCACTGAGCGGGCTGCCCATTGCCATCCCAAAGCACTGTTTGTAACAGTTGTCCTGATACTTGAAGTTGAAAATTAACACACGATTCCACTAGTATGATGAAATCTAGAAGAGTTAAAGGAGGTCGTGGTTTTCCAGTTGAGCCTCTGTCTCATAATGTTGATTGCAGCGTCAGTAGGAACGTTGGTAAGAGGGCTGTGACATCGAAGGAAGCCATGCTTTTGTTTTTGACATTCAGGTTGGAAAATTCGGGAGAAAAGGTCACCTGAAATGTTTGAGGTGGCTTGAACTGATAGTGCCAGAAGCGCTGAAAGGTATTTGCAAGGTGGCAGCTAGTCTGTGTGGTGCACTCCCTATGCCGAATGATAGGCCGTAGTGGGATGCCAGGTTTGTGTGTCTTAGGAAGGCCATACAGGCGTGCTGGTTTCGGTTGACCTGGTAAAAGTTTAAGTACTTTTTTCCTTGTCTGATTTCGTAAGATGCCTACACCTTTTGAAGAAAGTCTGGGTACTTTGAAGTAGCACTGATTTCCGATACGGCTGGTATGTGTTGGCATCGTTGAGAAGATTTAAGACTTTATTGTTGTAGTCGACAGTGTTGAGTAACACCACACCACCTCCTTTGTCAGCGGTTGTAATGACGATATCATCGTTGTTGGCCAAGTTCCTGAGTGTTTGGATGTATCTTCTGGGAATGACCGGTCTTGAAGGCTCAGTAGCTGCAGCAGTGATGATTCCTTGGACAAAGCCCTTTTGAAACTCGGAGTCTCCAAAAGGTTGGTTCTTGGTTACCATATCCACCAGATTATGTTTCTTGTTGATGCCAGTAGTAAACTTGAGCCCTAGGCTGAGGCAGAGGTTGTTTTGATAAGGACCTGCCTCGCATGGGCCAGTAGGCCTTCTACAGTGTTCCTCCATTCTTATGTTCTTATGACATTCCTCAGGTCACGTGCGTCACATCTCACTCTCCGCCTATATATATAATGTCTTTCTACCTCTGTATGTTAGAAGTGATCAAGGTCCCAGGACCGAAACGTTTTCTAATAAATATGTTATAGTGTTTGCTTACGTGTCTTTCTAAACCAACTTGTCGGTATTTATTACCAAGGTTTATACCAGATTACTGTTTCCTTAATATTCTGTAACTGTGTAAACCTCTGTAGTACCCCACCTCGCCTTACCCTGGTAGGATGCGAGGGGACGGAAGGTAGGTGTTGGGGTCGGTGGTGGCCCTCACTCTGACATGAGTTGCTATTGATACCTTCTGCCTTGCCTCAGAATTTTCCCCTCCTGTCTGTTGCTGTCTTAACAATGAAAGACAAGCCACAGGGAAGGGGGTGGAAATCTTCAGCTCAAATACTATCACACTTCTCAGTGCATCATCAGGAGCTATGCAATGTTGCAAGGCAGCAACTGAAGGAGTGAAGGGAAGTTTTCTCATTGTAGCACAGTCTCTCAGAATGTGGGCCAGCGGTTGGTGCCATCCTGCACCACCACCATCCCATTACTTCCCCCCCCCCCATATGAGGAGGGAGGGTTTTGAGATGTCGAGTATTATGAAATTAGAAGGTATGATAGCCAGCCCCCCCCCCGTGGCTTGTCTTGCATGTGCATATTATATATATATATATATATATATATATATTATATATTATATATATATATATATATATATATATATATATATATAAAATATATATATATATATATAATATATAAAATATATATATATATATATATAAAATATATATATATATATATATAAAATATATATATATATATATAAAATATATATATAATATATATAAAATATATATATATATATATATATATATATATATATAATTATATATATATAAAATATATTATATATATATATTATATATATATATATATATATATAATAAAATATATATATATATA